GATTCCATATTTGTTGTAAACGACCCCTGGCAGACGCAGCGATGCCAATCCGACGGAGAACCTCCGTGTGAGAGTTGGAGGAACTGGTGAGTATAGAAACCAAATAGCAAACGTTGGAGACTGCTTTGACAGTTTCGTTATTCAGAGATTGGAATCGTAGGTGGACCTGGTCCTGGATTTTGCAGCTTTGTCTTTGACCACGAAACATGGAGGCCAATCTTAGCCAACTCCCCTGAGTCCAACCTGTACCTCATCGTGTGTGTGTGTGTGCGTGTAACATCTGAAGTAGGGGATTGCTACGCCATCAGCGAGGAAGACTTGTCTGGAATATCACCCTGGGCATTATGCGAGGTGGACAGGCCAGTGTGAGCCCTGGACGTGGTGGCTAACACTGGCAGCGAAGATGCAGGGCAGCGGCTGCACCTCGCGATCTGAGGTGAGGGAAGTCACTGAGAAAGACTCAATGGCTCAGGTCGCGCAGCGTGAAGCCAGTGCCGGTAGCCCAGGAGAAAGGTCGTGTTACTGCTCCTCCGGCTCATCCCAGCGGGACGAGGTATTTTTCGGGATAATCGTACGCTCTTGCTTTCCTTACGTCAGCGCGTCTGTCTGTTCTTCCAGATCACTGGTAAAGACGCCAGCCTGATTCCACCGCTAGGTTTCACCCGCTCCCAATATCGTTAAACAGCGTGAGCCGCTCCCCAGCCCAGGCACGTGTCCCAGACAAGGCTCAGCCCAACCTCTCCCCGCAAACTCCAGCCTTTTAAAGGATGCCGTGATGGCACCTGAACTTGCCCATCAAAAAAACCCAGGTCGTGGCCCCCCTACACCCTGCCAATGCCCTGGGACCAGGGTCCGCCCGCTCTGCCTGCCCCGTGACTAAGCCCGCAGGCCCCGCACACTGCCCCAGTGCACAGGCTCTGCAGCCCTGGGTGAGTTCACGATGGGGAAACAACCTGGGCAATTACAGGCCTGTCAGGCTGACTTCGATCCCGGGCAAGATAACAGAGTGGTTGACACGGGACTCAATTAATACCGAAGTAAAGGCGGGTAATGTAATTAATGCCAATCAACATGGCTTTATGGAAACTAGATCCTGTCAAACTAATGATGAGATTCCGAGCTTGGCTGATAAAGACGATAGTGCTGACAGAGAGATTGAGACTTCTGTAAGGTGTCTGACTTGGTGCCGCACGACACTGATTACAAAACGAGAATGACGTAAAATGACGGTGGCACACGTTACATGGACTGAAAACTGGCGAACTGCTCGGTCTCAAAATGTCCCTGTAAACGGGGTATTGTCATTGAGCGGGTGTGTTTCCAGTGGGGTCGCACAGGGACTGGTGCTTGGCCCTACGCTCTAACATTTGTATCAATGACCAGAAGAAAACATAAAATGATCAAAGTGATCATCACCAGAACCAGAAACTGGATCACCTCTGCAAATGACACAAGAATTGGGAGCGTGGTAAATTCAGATTGAAATTCTGATTCAGAGTGACCTGGATCGCTTGGTAAACGGGGTGCAAGCAATGTAAATGTACAGATCCAGGAGCAGAGAACACAGGAGGGGGAACTCTACCCTGGGAAGCAGGGACTCCGAAAAAGATTTGAGGGCTGTGGTGGATACTCAGTTGAACATGAGCCCCAGTGGGATGTGGCGGCCAAAGGGCTAATGGGATCCTTGGATGCATAAACAGGGGACTCTCGAGTAGGAGCAGAGAGGTTCTTGTACCTTTGTATTTGGCACTGGTGTGACTGCTGCTGGAACACCGTACGGTACAGTTCTAGCATCCATAATTTAAGGATGTTGATAAATTGGGGAGGGGTCAGAGAAGACCCACAAGAATGATTAAAGGATTGGAAAACATGCCTTACATTGAAAGACTCAAAAAGCTCAATTGAACATAGGAACAGCCATGTTGGGTCCATCTAGCCCAGGAACTTGTCATCCAACAGTAGCTGGAACCAGGTGCTTCAGAGGGAATGAACAGAGCAGGGTAATTTTGAGTGACCCATCCTGTCATCCAGTCCCACCTTCTGGCATTCAGAGGTTTAGGGACACCCAGAGCATGGGGTTGCATCCTTGACCATCTTGGCTAATAGCCATTGATGGACATATCCTCCAGGAACTCATCTAATTATTTTTTGAACCCTGTTATAGTTTTGGCCTTCACAACATCCTCTGGCAAAGAGTTCCACAGGTTGACTGTGCATTGTGTGAAGAAATACTTCCTTTTGTTTGTGTTAAACCTGCTGCCTGTTAATGTCATTGGGTGACCCCAAGTTTTTGTGTTATGAGGAGTAAATAACACTTCATAGAATCATAGAATATCAGAGTTGGAAGGGACCTCAGGAGGTCATCTAGTCCAACCCCCTGCTCAAAGCAGGACCAACCCCCAACTAAATCATCCCAGCCAGGGCTTTGTCAAGCCGGGCCTTAAAAACCTCTAAGGATGGTGTCACGGAGCGTGGGGGAGTCAGGGCCCTGCACCCCACTTCCTGCGATTCACCATGACTCTCAGCCAGCCAGTAAAACAGAAGGTTTATTAGATGACAGGAACACAGTCCCAAGCAGGGCTTGTAGGTACAACCAGGACCCCTCAGCCAAGTCCCTCTGGGGGGCAAGGAGCTTAGACCCCAGACTTGGGTTCCCTGCCTCTTCCCAGCCAGCCCAAAACTGAAACAAACAAACAAAAACCCTCCAGCAGGCTCTCTCCCTTTGTCCAGTTTCCAGGGCAAAGGTGTTGACTCCCCCACCCCCCTTCCTGGCTCAGGTTACAGGCTCAGGTACCGTCCCTCACCTAAAGTCATCCCCTGCTCTCCCATCCCCCATGCAGACATTCCCAGGTCAATCCACCTCGCTCCCTACTGTGTCACAGATGGAGATTCCACCACCTCCCTAGGTAACCCATTCCAGTGCTTCACCACCCTCCTAGTGAAATAGTGTTTCCTAATATCTAACCTAAACCTCCCCAACTGCAACTTGAGACCATTACTCCTTGTTCTGTCATCAGGTACCACTGAGAACAGTCTAGATCCATC